AGTTCAGATGATGTAGATGAAATTAAAAAGCAATTCTTAGATGCCGATAAAATAGTCAAAGAATTGCCAGTTATCTCACCAAAACATCATGATTTTATGTACACTAGCAAAATTATCAACACTCAAAGAATATCAACAATTCAAGGTATTTATTTTAAAAATTATACTATATCTACTATTCATTTAAAACTAATTATGCTAATATTAGCAACTTTACGAAGTAAACCTATCGATTTCGTTGAAATTCTTGGTGAGTTCTATATTAAATTTACAGTATTTTTAATTAAATTAATTTATTACTTATTTTATATTGGTATATATTTAGATGATTGATTTAATCGCGTTAAAGGTATAAAATTTTTTTTGAAAAATATGAGATTCAATGGTATTTCTTTTAGAAATTAACACTTTATTTTTTATTTTTTTAATATTAAAATATTATATTTTTGTATATTTCTGATAAATTTGAAAGTATGTAAGTTATGTAAATATATATTTCCACAGAGACCGGTTGGTTTAAAAATTAGCTAGTATTATATTTCTTAAAAATCAACGTATTATTGTTATTGGATGTAATTTTTGGACGCTTTAAAAATTATAAGCCTTTTTGTAACATATATAAAATAGTAAAATCTGGTTTGTTTTTTTTTTAAACAGCACTCAGAATCAAATTATATTATATAGTACCATTTGAATTGTCTCATTGAGATGATGATTCAAATTATATAAAAATCGCATGCTTCTAATTACTGAACTACAAAATTTGAAGGTCAAATATTATGGTTCACGTATTATTCACGTGTTCAATTTTTCTTTTAATTTTACTGTTATTTCTTTATAATACTGTACAATACGAAATACATAATGCGCCATAATACCCCAACTTGAAAAACATAGCAGTTATTTAATAGATTTTAAAGTTTAAATTTAAGAGGGTTTTTTTTTTCATTCGATAGCAAATCGAATGTTATTTTATTTCGTTAAATTTTGTAAATAAATAAGCTTTTTCTAAAAATTTTTATACATGCAACTCTTAAGTATGCCATAATGCCCGACTCCTTTATTTGCGTGTAAAAACTAACGAATCGTCATTAATAAAGTTAAAATAAATAATTGTCAGGAAAACTTAGATTTCAAGTTTAAGATACAAGGCAGTCCTTATATACTTTTTTAGACTTGCAAATGTGTTAAGACAACACATTTTCGCGATGTGGTACATGATGTAATAGTTGTTTCAAATTACGGGATTGTAGTTCAAAAATCGCTTATTTAGCTCCAAATTCGATTTATTTCTTAAACAAAAAACATCGAGCTGTGAGCGCTTTTAATTTTCTTTGGTTTAACATTACACCATCACATTTTATATTTGCTTATTTAGAGTAGTCTCTTATTAGACATTAATTATACTATTATACAGTATTTTGTCAGGTGAAGTCGGCTGCGAAGGGCGAGCTACTATTGTCGACAATGATTAAAATATTTAGCAATTTTTTTTTCATCACTTCAAATATTCGGTAATAATATCATATGATAAAAATTTTTAGAAAGACGTGAAAATAATTGCAAACACAAGTCAACCTATATTATATGATAAAATTCATACATAAGCCATTACTGTCATGTACAGTAAAAGCATTTAACGAAGTACACGTAACAGAAATTGCAATTTCTCTTCAAAAATATTGATTTCATGAAATTACAGGAAATATAAATTATTAATTAAGTTTTACTTTTAGTGGTTATATTTCATGCATTAAAAATTAAGGAAAAATGGTGCTTAAACCTAGCCTAGAATTGTTTCTGACAGATTACTTTCGTATTATCGATTCTGAGCACTAGGGTAGAGACAATATTGATACGTTAAGTTCTCCATTTCTTTTTATTTAACTTGGTACAAGGAATCTTCGGTTCAGGTTTTTATCAGAGTTACAAGTTTATCAAGTGTTCACGTAGCATATGGTGGCATAAGGCCTAAAAATGAATATATAAGAAATTTTAGTATGTATCGTAATTTTACAAAAAGATAAGTTAAAAAAACAATAGTATAAATTGAAACTAACTCTCAATTTGTTCCGGATCTTCTTTACGTACTCCAGTATATAAAATAGTCGAGGATCCGTGTAAATCTAATTCCGTTTTTCTTTTCCTCCAGAGATAAATAGATAATGAGAGATATGATAGGATGATAATAATGACCCAGATGTAATAGGCCGTCACCAGCGGACTTCCAACATTATACAGGGCGAGACCAAGAGATATTTGATAAAAGGTTCCAAGAGTTAATATTCTTCCAAACCACCTATTCAAAAAGTATGTAAAAATTTGATTTAGAAAATAATAAGGATAAGTTAGCCAAAAAAAAATACGCACCAATGAAGCTTCGTCCACCAAGCAAAGTGTTTACGCGCTGGATCGTATAAGTGGTGATGAATCCATCCTAGGGCTAATTGAAGAAAGAAACAAATAAAAATAATTACGCCAAGAACCTATCAAATAAAAAATCGAACAGTTAATGAGATTTCGAAGTAAAGATATTCGTAATAAAAAGTATATATTACGTGATGCGTGTTGTTTGAATTAAATTTCACACCGGCAGCGATGGCCAATATTAAACCAATAATGATCAATGGTACAGCCAAGAAAGACATGATACCCCAATGTAACGGGACAAATTGGGCTGGAATAATATTCCTCGTGAAACGAATAATAAATATTGAACCAGGTATAACAATACCCCAAGTGAAAAACATTAAAAGACCTAGAAACATGACAAAATTTTAAACTATTAATTAAAAATATATCATTTGCGACTACATTTAATAGAAAACTTACCATGAGCAATTATATATTTATCATAATTTGATATAGTGCCTGTTAACGTCATATGACCTAAGTCATTATGGCGAGTAATGGTCGTTGTATAAGGATCATCAGAGGGACGATCAGTAGAGTGAAGAGCCCAGACAAAGTCTGAAGTAGTGGAAGTAATAGTTGAATTCACGACGACAAGTGGTCGCGTAAATTTCACGGTAAATACACCATCTTGAACACCGCTAGAGGGTAGTAACGTTATATCACTTTGTTGATCAGTTACTTCCGGGACGGAATATCTATAGGCAATACGTTGAGAAATAGCCACAGAATTTGTTGTGGTAGGCCATGCAATCTAATAAAAGAGAATTTTGAGAGAGAAATCCCAATTTTATCAAGCTAAATTAAAATGCATACCACCATGTAACTTCCAATCATAGAATCACCGATTCCCATGGCGATCCACCTGGTAATTCGAGACAAATCAAATAAGTAAGACGCACGTTGTGTGATAAGTTAAACAAGGAAATTTTTACCCAATGGTTGAAGGAGCAGTCATCTCAAACGTAGCTACATCATCTGCTTTCATTGTACTTGGAACCGTTGAAGTCAAGCAAAAATTATTTGCAGAATTACATTGCTTGACTTGGGCAAATACACCTATAATATTAGAAAATAGAAAAAGTCATCTTAACGATATTGACTATTAATATATTAATAATATATTAAGTTACCTTGAAATAAGGCAACCAAAATAACAAAAGCCAAAATAATAGATCTTTTCTTCATATTGATCATATGTATTTCGTGTCGACTTTTTGTTACAACCTAAAAAAAAAAAAAAAATTAAGATAAAGGTTGATAAATGGAACGAAGGGTGGCTGTGGACATAAAACAACTCCAAAGAATATCAATTGCGATATTCTGATGGGGCTTATATATACGTGAATTTTAGGCTTGGTATATATTGAAATTAAGGGTGGGTTAATAGATTTTATTTATACGTACAAATGTAGCGGTTAGCGTTAGTGTATAAATGAATTTAGTATGGATTACCTGAATCAGTATGATACGTATTTATGGTTTTTTAAATTGGTACATACGTACGCATGGCATACGTATATAGTATGTACGTTAACTGCGCACCTTATACTGACTCGGTCACCCAATATGATACGTATAGGAAGAATTCATTATTTGATAAACTTCATGTGGCTGTGTTGTCTATGAAAAATAAGCCGGTATCGTCTTTTTTATTATAACAAAAATGACCAATGATCTTCGAACAAGTACGCAAGTACGTACATACGTACCTATCAGTATAAATACACTAGAATTTCGAGCTTTCTTCCTCTCTTTAAATTCTAAAGATGTTGCCACGTATCCTCTATGAAGAGTTTTCAAGTCACAGCACGTTGAAGAGGCTTTGATGATGATTGGACTTATCATTAAATAGACACTTGTCATTTGCATGAATGAGGCTTTGCCAATATCTGTTGTTCAACAATAAGCCACACTTCCAATCAAATGAACGTTCTTTATGGGGACAAGTATAAACAAGTAACTACATGTCAGATCTCTTGAATTTCAATAAGGAAAATTCATTGTATTTTAAACTAAAATAGGCATTTTTATTTTCATATTAATGCATCTAAAAATAGTTTATTATATATTCGATTAGTTATTTCTATTACTGTTACCGTTATTGATTAATGAACATAATGTTATATTGTTAAATTATCCTGAAAACTTTATAAATTTCCATAAGTCGATCATTGATACTTTTGGATTATGCGTTTATGTAAATCTTGTATAATTTTGATATATTAAAAATATTCGAGAAGCGCGTGTGGTGTCGCGTGAGCGATGAATTGACACGAAATATATGATTACGTTTTATGGAAATCTCAAATTTAACATTTTTCCGTGTTCCTGCTAAAAATACAAATTTCAAGAAAGTTGACCTGAATCATTCTAATTCTTATAATTTTTTTCGATTCTTAATTTGAATTCGTTAACTCATATATTACTTATTTCCTATAAAGAAGACCGCTTGTGGCTTACCTGCCTTATGATTTTTATGTAATATTGAAATATTATATCTGTCATTTACACCATCGTGATTTCCATTCTTTATCTTGATCCATTTTCCAAGTTACATAACTTTCAAAATAAATATAATTCAAGATTCTTATGTTTTAGGTGGATATAAATCGTTCATTTATAAGTGTCTATTGTTGCGGCTGATGCTTGGCTGACGCTGAAATTTAGGGTCCCCATTTAATTCTATAACACCTACTAAAATTCACATATATACTACTTTTTTTACTAACAACACTAACCCTAAACCCAACCTAACCCTAAAAAAAACCCCCAACGAAAGGCCCAAAAAATTTTAAAATTTCATATTAAAATAGGTCAAAATTTCAGCATCAGAATCAGCCGCGACATTTATTTTTTCATGCATCGATATACTAAAAATACAAAGATCTAATAATTCATTCCAATAAAGATATACAGTTCTATTTTAAACATTCGGTTATTCTTTATTCTTATCTGTCATCTTTTCGTACAAAATTAAGGGTTAAACAACGACTTGCTATTTAATCATCTTTGATCTTCGTGATCCCCATGATTTGTATCCTATACGGGACGCAAACTCAAAGTAATTGCTTGCGTACCATGACCTTAACGAGGCACCTCTCCTAGATGGATGACATGTTAATTCCTTATGACCGATATTATGCTCTCATTAGAGCTAACCCAAAGGTTACGTGCGTACGTACGTGCGTACGTACGTACGTAAGTATGTACTGTACGTACAGTACGTACATACATCTGTTATCAGTTTTGTCATGTGATCCGTTTAACCGCAGTAATTACTGGTATAGAACCTTCTACGGCGATCATCTATTCCATAAAAAAAAATTTTTTTTTTGAATCGAGCAACTTCACTCTTTTTTAAGAGATCAAAAAACTCCCCCATCTTTAAAAATTTTTTATAATCTTATATTTAGTTCAATGTTGATATTTACAAAAAATAGTTTCAAAGTAGAAAATTTTCCCATAAAAGATACGAATCATCAAAATAATCGATCAATTTTTCAACCAAGGTAAAAAAATGTCGACTAAATTGGATTTTTTTTATTAAAAAAATAAAAATAAAAATTCTGAATTTTGGTTTAAAATAAATAGTCAACGGAATGATAATAATAATAATTGGTTAATTAAACAATCGTTATATATGCAGATGTCTGAGGGACAAATGTTAAATTATGAAGAAATATTGAATCATCTTGCTAAATATGATGAATTAATAGAAGTTCGTGAAGAAGGTGCTGAAATTAAAGAATACTTGGATTCTTTAACTGAAGATCAAAGGTATCGTATTGTATGAATATGTTACTTATTAGTTTTAAGTTTATTTGTATCTTTAAATAGATTTTCACTACTTGCTCTTATTTTTTATTTTGTCATTATAGGCAAGAATTTTACCCAACTGTTGATGAATACTTACGGAAGTTACAATCTGAAGAAAAAGTAAAAGACCAAGATACCGAAATGGATGATGAGATTGCTGACAATAAAACTGAGGAACAACTAAAAAATAAGGTACTAATTTATTACAATGCACGATTTAGCTTATCCGTTTTTAGTTTTTAAAATTTCAATTTTTTTTTAATTACACTCGATTAGTCAAGGGAAAAAAGTTATGAAAGGCCAGGATTTGAAGGTCGTCATTTACCAAAATTAATACAAATGCTTGAACGTGGAACCACTGATAAACTACCAAAGAAATTCAAACGTAAATTAGGGAAAAGGCAAATAAATCCTAGAGCTAATTGTAACATCAGACAATATGTTGCAACTCATGGGTTTCAACCTTCTCCTATGCTTAACGAGGACGATGTATGAATCCTCAAATTTTGTTTTGTGTGTATTTTAATTTGATATCTTCGTTTTATCTAAAATCTATTTCTAAAAATTGTTAAGTTGGAGTCGTAGGTGGTGTATAGTTAGCATTAGGTTTTATTGTGTTTATTCTTGGCGTATTTGTGTGATTGCTTATTTCTTCGAATAGACAAAAAAAAAAAATAGCTAAATATAAATTTCTTCCAAAAAATTTAATAAATATCGTTTATTATTTGATAATTCTTTTTATAAATATACATCGCCTGATCTTTTAATTAAATGTTTGCGATATTATTTATTCAAGAAATTTGAAACTACGTCTTAGTCTGTTTTCTTTATATATATCTTTTAATTAATCAAGGTTGTCTTCAAACGTTTCCCTTCATAGTTTATAGAATGATCTAATTGGCTAAAATAATAAATCGTGATTACCTCTAATTGGCTGAACTTTAAATCCGCATTTGGGAATGATTGATTTTATATTATTAATATATCTCTACTACCATAGCCGGTTACTTGAAAAGCTTTTGAAATCAGTCTTAGACGAGATTTTTTTAAAAAAACAAAATAAATTAGATGCATCTTTATTATTATATTTATATCTGATTTGACAAATATTTTCTAATAGCATTTATTAATAATTTTTGTTTTGAAACAAATTAATTTTTTTTTTTTGGTATTAAGGTGAGGCCTTGCTTGTATCTTTATTGGATAATTTATATTAGTAATTACATAATAAATATATAAAACTTAATTTGTATAATAACAAATAAATATAAATTATATGCAAGAATAAAAGCTTAGACAAAATATCTATTTAGACAAATTATCTGCAACCTAAATCTACTAAAGTGGCTAAGACTCAAAAACTTTATACAAATCTAGATGAGTTCTGGATAAGTATAAAGTTTTATAGAAGTTCTATAAGAAATGTAAGAGATAGATTATTTGTAGTATAATATTAATTCAAAATAAGTTAATAAGATATAAATATGTTAAAGTTAGAATAATTGTAATAAAGTTAAAAAGAAAAGAATATTGTAAATCAAATAGTAATATAATAAAAATAAAAGAAAAGAAAATTATGTACTATATACTGCCGTAAATAAGCATCTTCTTTGGTCATAATAAGAGGTGCTTATTCATAGCAGTATTTGAAAAAACTTAATCAACTCTTCTGAAAGTAAATTTGATATTATGTAAACCTTTTCTAGCTCTAAGTAAACATGTTCTCAGATCATGCTAATTCCAGCAATAGTAAGAACATCAAAATTGGTCAAGTAAGTTATTAGCAATAGCTTTTCAAAGTTTGAAAACATTTATTAATATCTAAAATTTGTGTAAACAAACAATTTTAAACCAATTTTGATGTTCTTACCACTATTAGAATTGTATTAATCTAGTGAACAAGGTTACTTAGAATTAGAAAGTAGTGTTACTTAATAACAAACTTATTTTTAGAAGACTTTTTATTTGTTTATTTTTTCTTAAAATGTTTAATCTAAATGCACCTGAAAAATATATACCGGGTTGGGTTCGGATGATGCAATTTACTTATTTGCATTAGTAATACAACCCAAAAAAGAAAATCACATTTGTAAATAAACTAAGAAAGTTTAGGATTAGGATGTTAGGGTTAGCATTAGGGTTAGTGTTAGGGTTGTGAGCTTTTAGTGATAATTTGAGTTTTTATATATAAAATTTCATTCCTGTTATTTTTTATTAGTCTATAAAAGTCAATTTAAACACTGCAGTACAGGACAGCATAAAGCATCTACTATTTATTAATAAAAGCTTTAAATTGTTATAACTTTTTAAAACAAGTTAAATTAAAAAACTCTCTAACAAAGTAATAGATTTTTAGCTAAACTACATTTTTGTCAAAGAAATTTTTTTTATTTTTTGTTTTAAGAAAGTTATAAGAAATTTTTTTTTTTTTTTGTTCAAATTCGGCAATCATGCCACAACTTTATTAGGCTTTGTACAATTCTTATAGAACGGTAAAATTTTACAAAGAAGATTTATTGGTGAGTGATAAACTCTGAACAAGTCGGCAGATAGCATATGAAAACTATCTCTAAACGACAAGTGCCATACCCAAGGTACACTCTAAGTCATCTAAATTATGAGTTGTAACTCACTTAGTTACCCCAATTGGCACCTATGTGCGACCTGCTATAGTAGGTTTCTCCTCCATCTGGCCCCTCCTAAATTCAGATATTGACCGGCTTTCAACAGATAGTACCTACTGCCCGTTATGACTACTTCCTCTTCTTTCAAGCTTCTTCCACCTAAGCTCGACTAAATCATTAACCCTTATTTATATATAAAAAAAAAAATTTAAAGCCATGTTTACAAAAAACCTAAACATCTTAGAAAAAAAAAAACCTCATGGTAGAAAAAAAAACAAAAAAGAAACAAAATTCTAAAGTAGTCTAACATAAATTGAACAGAGATAAAAAAAACGAAAAAAGGGAAGGTAGCTATGACAGGCACCTTGGTAATAAAAATTATATAATAACTGTAACTAATTATTATATCTCGTTATAAAACGTTCGTCTTATTTTTAGAACTCGTTTCGCACACTGACTCAATTCGGGTATCTCTTAAACAAGGGTGCTGTATTCATCTCTGTACCATAGTGCCACATTTGTAAATCAACAAATACGTGGTTGCTTTCTACTGAGTCTATCCCGATTTGATAGAAGTAAACAATACCGATCTTTTGGAGAGGGTAAGCCAAAATGCCTATTTTTTTCAAAAATTATGGTAAGAATGGCAAACAGCGAGAGAAAGGTAAAAAACCAATAGGAGAGCACCAAAGGAATATAAGTTTTCTTTATTTCGATTAAACCCTCTGCCTATGACTTGCACAGTATTTACTTTTTTCGATGAGTAATAAACTCTGAGCTTGTCGGCAGGTAGCATATAAGAACTACTTCTAAACGACAAATGTCATGTTGCAAGAAACAATGAGTAATAAACTCTGAAACAAGTTGGCAGGTAGCATATGAAAACTACTTCTAAACGACAAGAGCTGTCCTGCAAGCCATTTTCTCATGTCTCATGATTTAAACATCAATATTTTATTGAGGTGCCCCAACATCTAGTGTTTTTTTTTTGTAAAAATTTTTTGGGAAGTGGTGGTCCAGATGATCGTTGGAAAGAGTTGTTTTTCGAAAGTTATAAGAAATTAAAGTTTATAATGGTTTAAAAAATTGGCATTTAATATAAAAAAAAAGAAAATATATATATTTAATTAGCCAATCAGAATTATTTATACAAAAACTAGCCAATCAAAATTGACTATATAAGGGGGTTTCTAGAAATCAGCTGATTTATCTTTATTAATAGGCCAGACCCACCCACCCACACCTGACATCCCTATTAGCCAATTAAATTTCATATTTATTTTAAATTTATATAATAATATATATATAAACATTAATAATAAATATCTTTTGATCTACTAATCCAATTTTGATAATTTAACTACCAAAATGATCTCTACAGAGTGGGGATTCCAACAAGCCCAACTTTATCAAAATCCAATTACATAATCACAAGATCAGAATAGATTTGTATATTATTATTTATACTATACTATAGTAATATATATAGCATATACAGTATAATAGTATACAAATCTAAATCGATCTCAGAATCTAGTGATTGGATTTTGATAATTTTGGGCTTGTTAGAATCCCCACTTTGTGGATATTAAATATTAAATATTAATAGTAAATATCTTTTGATCTACTGGGCCAATTTTGATGATTTAACTGCCAAAATAATTTCCACAGAGTGGAGATTACAACAAGCCCAAGATTATTAAAATCTAATTACTAGATCCTGAGGTCGATCTAGATTTGTATACTATTATGTATATACTATACAGTATATATATGTACTACTATAAATAATAATATACAAATCTATTTCGATCTCAGGATCTTGTAATTGGATTTTGATAAGGTTGAACTTGTTGGAATCCCCACTCTGTGGAGATTATTTTGGTAGTTAAATCATCAAAATTGAATCAGTAGATCAAAAGTTATTTATCATTGAAGATTAATATTAAATTTATAATTTGGGCCAAAAAGTTTTTTTTTTAATTTTGGCCAGAACCTGATAATTCCGGCCGGAATTACACCTGACACCCCAGCTGACCCACCTACCCACCCCAAAATCAGCTGATTTCTGGAAGCTCTCTAAGCTCCAAAATTGGCACTTTATAATATAGATTGGATGTTTTATGGTGTCTCACACTGTAGTTTTTGAGTATTTTCTCTTTTTTGATGTTTTTCTTCACTTTGCTCATGTGTCAAGCTAATCTGAGATCATCATATTTTACGTTTTTCGATTGGCCATTTCCTTTTTAGAGGTTTGTATTACTAGCACAAATAAGTGAATATCAGATGATGATCTGGATAATAGTCTAGCAAATGTTTTTGAATTTTTGCTTTTTTTTTTTACTAAAACTTTATTTTTCAATTATCCCTTAAACTGTTCAGCATGCAATTTTGCCTGCTAGAATTATTTTGAACATATTTCTTTAAAATTACTAAAAATTTTATTAAGAATAAGTATTTTTATTATTAAGCTAAAATAAAAATTTGACATATTGTTAATTGATATTTATTAAAATTTTAATTATACAGTCAACCCTCCCCAAACTGATCCTGTCAAAACCGATAACCTGCTATAATCAGTTAAAAATCGATCTACTATACCTGTTCCATAATTGATACCCGATAACCTGTCTTTTTTAATATTTGGTAGTCTATTTATCCAAGTTCCCAATAGTGTCACACGAATATATCCAATCAAATCGCATAAAACTTACTATTTTCATGTGACATATTCGCATAATTCGGCAAAAATTCGCACTCATATCACGTGACTAAAACTTATTTGTATTTTGGAAACATAAATTCTGAAAAGTTACGATGTAGAAAATAAATGAATCTAAATTACGAGCATAGTCGAAGTAAAATTTGCAGAAGTGTCTAAAAAATTCCGAAGAATAGAACTAATAAAATTTTTAAATCTGATACTCTCCCAAATCTAATATAAAACCTGTCCACTATGTA